AGAGATGCTGGTGGGTTCACATCACCAACCTCTTGGTTAGCTGCTGAACAGTTAACCACTCTGCCAACAGGGCTGTTTCTAAGATTAAAGCCTTGGAAATGCTATGGGGGTAGTTCTCCTCTGTTTGGTGGAGTTCTATGAATCAAAATTGAGAGCAAACAACTGTTGCAGCTGTCTGGGCCAAAAGTCAGAAGTCATTCCTGAACCTTCTCCTTTACGCACAGCAGCCAGTCTTATCACTTCTGTCCCTAAATATACTTGAATCTCTAGTTTTTTCTATTCTCTACTTCTCCTGCTTTCCAGGCTGTCATTTCTCACCTAGTGACACAGCTGGTTTTGCTCTGCGTCTTCCAATCCTCTATAATCAGAGAGTTCTTGATCAACCTTTAAAGCTTTTCACGAACACAGAACGAAGAACAAAGGCCTTAGCTTGGCATCCAAGATCTTTAACTGTCTAACTCATTTCTCTTCAATGTCCCCTATGTACTCCAGCTCCTCCCACTGACTCACTCACTTGTGTTCCCAAAGTGATTCCAGTCTCTCTCACCTCCAGGAATTAGTTACATGCTCTCTCTGCCTATATACTCCTCTTCCCACTCACCTCACCTCAACCCAACCTTCTCAGGCCATCTCCTACTCAACTTAGACACTGTCCCCTCCTTCGAAGGCTCCTCAACCTTTTAATACTAGACTAGGGTTTGCTCAACATCCTAACCCCGTATCAGTTTCTCAAACTGGTAAATGTTTCTATCAAGGAAATATTGTAAATTAAGTCAGACAGGAGTCATGGTTCCTCTCTAATTCAACCTAAATGTGCAGTCAAGGCACCAACCCAAATAAAAACTGCCAAAATGTTTTTATCAAGGAAACCTTTTATGTTAAGACAGAAAAATCATGATTTCCTTGTCTTTCTCACCAAAATTACTTTTTCCGTTTGTCTAAAAAGTTTCCTTGTATGCACATCCAAAAACTTCTCCAACAGGGTAAAACGGGAAGCCACAGATTGGGGAAAAATATTTGGTAATGGCAATTTAGACAAGGGACTTATATCTAGAATTTATAAAATACCTGAGCACCACAACAAGATAAAGGTAAATAACCCAATTGAAAAATGGGCACAGGATATAAACAAACACTTCACAAAAGACGACATTCAGATGGTCAACAAGCACATGAAGAAATGTTCAAAATCCATAGCTCTAAGAGATGCAAATCAAAACAATTATGAGATATCATCTCACTCCAGTAAGAACAGCAAAATTTAACAAAACAGCACAAACACAAAAGCTGGCAAGGTTGTGGAGAAACTGGAATACTTATTCACTGTTAGTGGGAGTGTAAAATGGTGCAACCACTGTTGAAGGCAGTATGATGCGTTCTCAAAAAGTTGGAAATAGAAATAACATTTGGCCCAGCAATTCCACTACTGGGAATATACCCTAAAGAAACAATAACCACCACCCAAGCAGATATATGCACACCCACGTTTATTGCAGCTTTGTTCACAATAGCAAAGAGTTGGAAACAACCCAAGTGCCCATCAACAAACGAATGGATAGAAAAGCTCTAGTATATTCAGACAATGGTATACTGTGCTGCACTGAAAAACAAGGAACTCATGCAATATTATTAAAAAATGGGTGACCCTGGAGGACATTATGCTGAGTGAAAATAGCTCAGTTACAAAAGGACAAATACTGCATGGTGCCACTGTTGTAAAACAGGACTGAAATCGGGGTTGAGGGAAGACATAAAGATGGTATAAATAATGTATACTGCATTGAAACAGATGAAGGAGAGAACTGTTTAAAAGGAATATATGATTAGGTATTATTGTCATGACAGGAGTCCAGAATGAAGGTTGCACAGTGGAGTAGACTTGGGGGTAGGGATTGTAAAACAATGAAAGAATTTTTCTTTTACTTTTCAAAGAGAAGAGCAAATTTGGGGGGAGGGCAGGGAGAAAAGTGCAACAATGAATGAATGAAACCCTAAGTCTCTATAAACTTTCATTAAAATTAATTTTTTATAAAAGACCATGACCCGAATCAGGAAAAAAAAAGAAGTTTCCTTGTGTATCTCCTCCAAATGTTCATGAACATCTGTCTATCAGGTCCTACTTACCAAGTTCACTTACCATACTCAACTCCTGGCACAGAGAAGCAGCTCAATATTGAAATAATTAATGAATTTTTTAAAAAAGAGTCAGAGTTCTTTATCTTCTACTTCAATACCAAACTCCAATGGGAAATTGTTTAAGGAAACCCAATTTGTCTCAAACAAGTACCAACAGCCTACTTAATGGAAGGCATGCAGCTCAGAACCAGAACAGTGTAAAACTAAAGGCATTATAACTTTTACAGGGAAAAGCTTCCCTTCACCTGATCATCTTAAACACACTCAGACTACCTTTCCCCAGGAATTATGTGCTCAGAAAACAAAAATATCATCTTGAATAGAAAAAAAGTGGGACACTGAACCAACTGAGAGCTAGGATTTTGCTTTGCTCACATTATCCATGTCACTGTTCACATCAGGAATTTAGTGAATTGTACTTGCAAAGGAAGGACAGAGGCTGGAGTTCTGTTTTACACCACTTTAGCCAGCTTACATAGAAGATTCTACAGACTCTACCAACAACTTTCCTCACGCTGACTAAGAGCTAGGAAGGAGCCCTTCCCCAGTTACAGTAGGGAGGTTTGGTTAAGGAGCTGCACTGCAAACACAAAGGCAATTGGTCCACATTTACCAACTGCTCCCCAGCCTCTGAAAATCTGCTGGATGGTCAGCTATGAGTTAGTTTTAATTCGGTGGCACAATGAAGGCACATAACAACACTGTCCCCTGTAAAGAAATAAACTGGCTCAAAGTGCCATCTACCCCAATCCTCAGCTACACATACCCAGACTCATATGAAGTCTGAGGAGAAAAGAAATGTCAAGGAATTCTGCCCAGTTTCCTTTGTCTCATTCAAGAACCTGTCTTTGACCCTGCTTAACCCAAGGCCAAGTTAAGTTTTGATGAAGCAATAGCTCTTTTTTTTTTTAAAAAAAACAAACCAAACTTAGAAATGGCAGGCTGAGGTAAAGGCAGAGTTATATATGGAAGAACGTTAAGAAAAAACTCTATGTAGAATTTGTATTCACTCAAGTAAAAAAATACATATGGAATACTTAGTCTGTGCCAGGCAGGTCTTAATCATTAGGAACATCACACTGAATAAATAAAAAGTAATTCCTGACTTCATGGAACTCATGTATCAGTGGTGGTGGTGGTGGTGGTTGTATGAGTTGGAACTGATGCATAGCTGACCCTCCAGGGGGTTTTCAGAGGCAGTAAATCGCAAGTGAGGAGACTGCCCACCCTTCTCCCACATGTATCAGTGGAAGGAGAGTAAAACAGAATAAATAGTATGTCAGATGGTAGCAAAGGCAATGACGATTAGCGAGGGGATAACTTAATCCATTGTCATCTAGCTGATTCCAACTCATTCCCACTCTAAAGGACCATCAAACTCACTGAGTCCATTCTAACTTAGAGCAAGTTCTACTCTCCTGCAGGAGAGAGCAGAACTGCCATAATGTTTCCATGGCTATAAATCTTTACAGAAGCAGACTGTTACATCGTTCCCCCATAAACCACCACCAAACCATCAGGGCTTCTAGTGTGTGGTAACTCCCTGCTATCAAATGATTCCAACTCACGGTGATCCTCCACTAGGTTTCTGAAGCTCTAAATTTTTATGGAAATAGTCCCTCTTCCTCCTGGTGGATTTGAACTGTGGCTCTTTTGGTTAACAGTCCACCAGAGTTCCTTAGTGGGTGATGGAAGGTTGCACTTTAACTAGGTAGACTAGAGATTCCTCAATGAGACATGGCTTAAAAGAATGAAGAAAAAAATGAACCCAAAACCCAAACATTAAAATATCTGGAGGAAGAAACTGAAGGAATAGTAAACAGTAAGTGCAAAATAAAAAAAGGAAATGACTTCTAGACCGAGTTGGGAATCTGAAGAAAAAGGGTGAGAATAAGCTTTACTCAGAAGGTTATCAAAAGCGAGCCATGGATTAATACATTTTTCAGAGGAAAAAGAAAGAAATCCAGCCTAACTCTAAAATACTATCTGCTCCAACACCTGATAGCGCCTGCGGCCCCAAAACACTCATTCCAAACGAAGCCTGGTGATATTTTTCTGCCTCCAAAGTATAGGAAGCATCACAATCCTTTCTTCTAGAATAATAATGCCAAGCATTCTAATTCACCTGGACTGGATGACACTTCAACAGTGAAAATAAGGCGCAGGTCTGGAGTTCAGACACTCAGCTCTTAAACCTTCATTCTACATCCTTTACCACCTAAAAACTTACATGCTGGATGCCTGTTGCTCACCTGCAAAATTAATACACTATCTTCCCGTGTTCTCTAATAACGAATGAAAGGAGCAATGACTGACAAAAGATATGCACTCGATAAAAACTAAGCTTCTTCCCTAACTTCTCTCAAGAACAGAATCTAGGAATCCTACTCTTTTCCTGCAGACCTCACTGATGCTTCTGAATGAATGCCATCTTTTATCTCTATTTTGCTACAAATTTACTACAACTTAGAGACACAGGAAAAGATTGGTCCCGGATGTTCCGCAAAGGCGCAGCAGTTCTGTCTCCTGTCATTTTTTCAGGAGCACGATCCATCCTGTTTTCATTAGGGGAAGAGGGAAGAACAATGGGAATAAAAGTGGAAACAAGTGTCCTCGGGCCTACGCCTGTCAGTGCGGTGAGAATAGCGGCCCCTCTGCAGGCGAGCTCAGCTACTAGAAACCCGAAAAAACAAAAGCCCAAATGAACTTAGTTGGTAACTAGGGTTGCATTAAGGATCGCAAGGCCTTCATGCGTCAATGGGATTTACAAGAAAGAGCCTCGTACGTCCCACAAGTCTCTTCCACAGCTGAGCCCACGTCCAAACCCGAAAGACACTTCGGAGGTGGCCTCCTCAGATACTCACATCTCCCTTGTGCAGCTCCGGCGCCGCAATCTTGACGGGCTCCGTCCTTTTCTTTGGCTTGGGAAGCCCCAGGGGGGGCCCGGAACCGCCAATAGGGGGGGGCAGACTGAGGCCTGGGCCTCGGGGCGGAGGCAGCCCCAACCCCAGCCCCTCCCCAACTCCCGCCGCTTCAGCCGGGCTCACGCCCGGAGGTGGGGGGAAGCCACCGAGGCCGAAGGGTAAAGGGGGAGGAGGCTGAAGCCGGGGGTCTCCAGTGGGTGGTGGAAGCAACAGCGGCGGGGGAAAGGCTGGGGCCAGCATTTGAGGAGGCGGGGGTAGCAATGCCGGTCCCTTGGGTGCGGGGAGAGACGCGAACAAGCCACCTAAAGTTGGCCCAGATGTAGGGGCCACCACCTCCTCCTCCTCCGGCTCCGGCTCAGCCTCATCCGGCTCACTCTCATCGCTGCTGGCGTAAGCAACCAGCGACATGCCGCTTCCCGCCTTTGGGGCGCCCTTGCCGGCAGATGGGGCCTACTTGAGACCGGGGATGCCTGGAGGCCTAGTGGGCCCCGCCACTTGGCGGGGCGGGAAACCGAAAAATCTGTCTGCTCCGTACTCTAGGACTAGCCCTGGTAGGACCCCATAGTCACGGCTGATTTCCACCGAATCAGGGATCCCTCTTCCCTTAAGCTCCTAGTCCCGAGCAACTACAGACAGCTAATGGCCGCCGAGTCACTCCGCCTCCTCGTCGCCTCACCAATGCAAGAACTACAAATCCTAGAGAAGACTTTAGCCACAGCCTTATTCTCCGCCGCCGGGAAATCAGCGCAAAGCACTGTGGGAGATGGAGTCCAGGGATGGAGTAAGGCGAATGCGAAAAAGACACGGGAACACGCCTCTAACGCGTGGACTCCTGGGATGAGTAGTTTTTTTTTCTTTCACCTGATAATTCCTCGATGACTACAAGCTCCATAGGGCACTGCAGGAGTCACGAAGACCGGGAGGAGAGCATTTCGGTACTTGAAGTTCCCTAGGGTCGCACCTAGGGCGCTAAGACTTATGGGAGCTGTAGTGCTCTTAGAAACGGCAAGTGCTATTGGGAATGTAAGGGAATCTGGGAAATTGGCGTATTGTGGAAAAGTAGTTTAAAGGGGAAGTAATTTGTTAAGTAAACGGAAGAAGCTCCCGAGTTGGCTAGAATGTGATAATAAGAGACGCCAAAAAAAGACGATGACTGAGGGATCTGTGAAATTGGACTACAAGCCAGAAAAAAGCGAGACTACAGACATAATAGTAATTACTTGAAAACGTAAATAAATGTGACATAAGAGGGCGGAGGCTGTCCCCTTTCCATAATCAGGGAGCCCATACAAGAGGACACCTCGCCCTGTCAGCCTGGGGTTTTATCTCCTTCAGCAGCTAGTGAAATCGAAAGTTTTAGGAACTTAAAAGCTAGAACCTGCTCCAAAACCAAGCCAAGCCTATTGCCGTCGGTCCGTTCAATACATAGCCTACTACAAGAATCTTTTACAAGAATAATTTTCCGAAGCTGTAAATCTTTACAAAAACAGACTGCCACATCTTTCTCCCGTAAAGTGACTGGTGAACCCAACAACTGACCTTTTTGTTAGCAGCCAAAACCTATGACCATCGCGCCTTTTCCAGGGCCTGGTGATTTAAATAAATCCCTTAATTCAACAGAGGAGACTGGCTTTGCTCAGACTTCATTCCAATTCTAGGGAATCACCTTAGTCCTATTCACGTGCATCTGTGCTTTGCATTCTGTCTATTCGAGGTATTTGCCCTTTCCTTGTAGGTGTATGACCTTCTTAAATCTGTTTCCATCCAGGTTTGTATCATCTGTATTACTTTATATCTGTTTCCAGCACTTTTGTGTATGTTTCTAATGGCAGGTCTTGCAACCATCCTTCCCTGCCTGCCTATAATTATGTGTCCACTTTTTTTTATCTTTGTTCCTCCCTATCTACCTTTGTTGACTAAGAATAACAGAAGAAGAATTCATAACTTTGAGTTTTGGTGTTGAAGAAGAGCATTGAATGGACTGCCAAAACAACAGATAGTATGTATTGGAGAAAGTGCAACCAGGTTGCTCTTAAGAAACAAGGGTGGTGAAGCTTCCTCTCACATACTTTGGACAAGTTGTGAGGTGGGCCCAGTCCTTCGAAAAGGACACCATGCTTGGAAAGGTCGAGGAAGGTCAGCATAGAAGAGTCTGGGTGTCTAAGATTTGTTATTCCAGATGTTTTTCCTAGCCAATCCTTAGCTGTTTGTGCTGAAGTATGCATTGTATTGTGATTGCCTTCAAGTTGAGCACAACTCATAGCGATCCTATGAACAAAAGCCCTGAAGCCTTTCTAGAACTATCGACATGGGATTCCCATTCTTCTCAGAGTCAGCCACAGTTTGTTACGATCCACGCAGTCAAACACCTTTGCATAATCAATGAAACACAGGTAGACATTCTTCTGGTATTCCTTGCTTTCAATAAGATCCATCTAACATCAGCTACAATATCCCTAGTACCACAACCCCTTCTAAGTCCATGGACTTCTGGCAGTTCTCTGCTGATGTGCGGTTCCAGTAATTTTTGGATAATCTTCAGTAGAATCTTGCTTGCATGTGAAATCAATGATATTGTTCTGTAGTTTCCACGCTCTGTTGGGTCACCCTTCTTTGGAATGGGAACAAATATAGATCTCTTCGAGTCAGTTGACCAAGTGGTGGTTCTCCAGATTTCTTGGCACAACTTGGTGAGCACATCCAGGGCAGCATCTGTGAGCTGAAATATGTCAATTGGTATACCGTCTATTCCTGGAGCCTTATTTTTTCTATTTCCTTCAAAGCAGCTTGAACTTCTTCCTTCATCACCATAGGCTCTTGCTCAAATGTTATTTCATTAAATTCTTCTGTATCTGCCAATTCCTTTCGATACAATGACTCAGTATATTCCTTCCATCTTCTTTTAATACCTCTTGGATCATTTAATATGCTGCCTAAAGCATCCTTGATTATAGCACCTCTAGGTTTGAATTTGTTTTTCAGTTCCTTGAGCTTAAGAAATGCTGAACGACTTCGGCCCTTTTGATTTTTCAACTCCAGCTCCTTGCACATTTCATTGTAATATTTTGCTTTGTCATCCCGTACTGCCGTTTGGAATCTTCTGTTCAGCTCTTTAGTATCTTGAATTCTTCCTTGTGCTTTGGCTTCTCTATGCTCCAGTGTAATCTTCAGAGTTTCTTCTGACATCCATTTTGGTCTTTTCTTCCTCTTCTGTCTTTGTAATGACCATTTGCACTCTTCCTGGATGATATGTTTGACATCCTCCCACAACTCATCTGGTTTTTACTCATTAGTGTTCAAGGCCTCAAACCTGTTCCTGAGATGATTCTGAAATCCAGGTGGGATGAACTCAAAGTCATATTTTGGCTCCTGTGGATTCAGTTTAATTTTCCTCAGCTTCAGCTTGAACTTGCATATGAGTAGTTAGTTGGTGGTCTGCTCCACAATCAGCTCCTGGCCTAGTTTTCACAGCTGATATTGAGCTTCTCCAGCGGTTTTTTTCTGCAGCTGTAATAGATCTGATTCCTATGCATACCATCAGGTGAAATCCATGTGTATAACCTGCGTTTATGTTTCTTATAAAACGTATTTGCAATGAATAAGTCATCGATTGTACAAAATTCAATCATTCTATCTTCAGCTTCATTTCTGTCACAAAGTCCATGTTTTCCAAATACTGATTCTTCTTCTCTGTTCCCAACTTAATATATTAAGATAGAGAATGTATTATATGGATAGAGAATTAGAATAGAGAATGAATTGTATATAATGTAGTAAGGATAAAGAATTAGGATGGGATACTAGCCCCACCCTGTTAGTGGCTTATATAAGCTCATGGGACCTCAGTGCTAGGTTGCTCTTTTGGGACACTCACTGTCCTGGGATACAGCATCCAATAGCACTGCAACCAACAGTTTCTAGGATCCTGGCCCATCACTCATCAGACTGCAAGACGAGCCTTCATGCCTATGGCCATGTGAATCATTATGGGTCTGAATGTCTGCGAAACCTTCCTGTGACCCACCAAACCTAAGTGACAGAAGAGCTAGAGAACTGGACAAAGGAGGAGCTGTTAATGCTGGAAGTAATGTACTTATAAGCAGTCAAGCATTTGGAACAATCTTGACTTGACACTTCTCATAACTGCTCTGCTACAAATCTTAGCAGGACAAATTCTAAAAAGAGAGGAAGACTCTCAACAAAATGTACTAAAACAATGACTATAACAATGGGCTCAACTACATCAGAGATGATGAGAATGGTACAGGATAAGGCCAGTTTCACCTCTGTTGTTCGTAGAGTTGCTAGAAATTACAGTCAACTCATCAGTACAATATCTGCCATGACTGGATGCCCTCTCTCAGTCATTTACATGCTAAAGATACAATCTATGTGGATGCCACATCCTGCTCAAAAATTTTTCTAAGCTTTGACTATGAAAAGCATGTTAAGGTTTTGAGAGGGTAAAAGAAAGAGGGAAAGGGTATTGAAGATGACAATCATGATGACAACAATGAAGAGGAACAAGGCCTAAGTTTGACTCCTATGCCAGATAACCTAATGTGCCCCCTCTCTTCCTAATCCCACCTGTGTGCCTAATCTTATCCTGCCATCAGAGTGAAGCTCATATACATCTTCTCTAAGAAGTCTCTTCACATCACATCTATTTGCTCCTTTCTCTGGACACACAGAGCATTTTTAAAAGTTTTCTCAAATTTTAACTTACAAAAAAAAATCTCAGGTTATTATGTTTTAAAATGCTAACTCCTGAATTCCAGATTAAGAAATAACTCTTCATTAGCTACAGGAGGAAATTGGTTTTTAATAAATACCTCAGTGGTGTAGTGCATAGCATGTTGCACGGCTAGCCTAAAGGCTGTCTGTTCAAATCTACTGCCTGCTCTTCAAAAGAATAATGAGTTAGCTGTAACTGCAAGTTCAGAGGTGCACAGTTCAAATCCACCAGATGCTCTGCTCGAGAAAGAGGAACAATGTCCTCCTGTACCAGTCAGATCTGATTTGATGGTACAAACAAAAAATAATGAAATTTTAAAAAAAGAAAAAAAAAGAATAATGAGTTGTCTCCTCCCTTAAATATTTACAGCCTTGACAAACTAATGGAGGGTTCTTATGAATCAGAATTGACTTCCCAGTAGTCAGGAGATTACAAAGCATGAGCACTGAAGAACAGTCCTTCAAGTTCTACCTCACAGCTGGTATGCTCAACACTATACACAATTCTAAAAGCTGCTTTTGAATCTAGGTTCCCCAAACTACTCTCTTTTGAGACTTTGAGCAGTTGCCCTTCTTCTCTGAGTCTTATGTTATGTATGCTAAGGAGCTCTGTCCTACTTCTAAGCATTTCTGAAAGCACACTCTGCTATTAACCAAAAGGTCTGCTGTTTGAACCCACCAACAGCTACACTGGATAAAGTAGTCTGCTTTTGCAAAGCCTATGAAGAACCCTGTAGAGCAGTTCTGCTCCGTCTTACAGGGTCACTGTAAGTCAGGCCCAATTTAACACCACTAGGTTAGGTCTTACTTCTGTGGAAAGCACATGAATTTAACACACAGTAAAAGTACTTAAGAAACTAAAAAAAATGCAAAGTGTTCAAAGGGAAATGTCTGTCTTTGTGACTGGTCATCACATTTTCTTGAGCAGCAAAGGAGAGAAGACCCTAAAGGATAGAGAC